ATGACTCTTTCTATTGCCTATCTTCACCTGCCTGCAAAACTCAGACATTCCACTGCCACTACAATTAATCGTACTTCCTAAATCAAGAAGGTAACGCTGTTCACCTGGCACCACATAAGTGAATTTGCTTAGCAGAAGAATTATAAATAGCAGAAAGAGAAAAAACTAAAACCCGTCAAAGACTCCAAAAACATGCCAGAAGATTCGAAATAAAAAAGGAATACAATACAAATACAAAAAGTAACTTCCACTTTACAAAACCCTGACCTCAAGTTTGTCGGCTCGACCGACGGTACCACACATTCAATGTCTACCCACAAATTTTTAAAACACACATTAAACATGAAAATTAACAGATAATACAGTCATCCAGTCGACAAATTTGAAAATCAGATGAATGTAAGATGCAAATACTTCACGTGATGGCACAGATGCGCAGGATATTCTCTTCATCCTAGAACCAGACGTTATTTCGTTGCTTGTCGTTGCAGCATCTTGTAGATTTGTTCCTTAATCCACACCTTGTTGTGTGGGGCGTAAGTGCTAGTGGCATCGTTAAACACTAAACATGAAAGATCACCCAGCCGATCAATAAAATGAAATAGGTTTTGCACGTCGTACGTAATCGAAGCCGACTTCGGATTCAACTTCTTTAGATGCTCCTCGAAAATCTTGCACACTCCTAAATGTACGCCTCTAAATTCGTTTTTATTCCATGATCCAACTGTAGGATTTTCTTTAAACTAGCATCACGATAAAGTTCCACAAAACAAAATTTTTAAAAAAGCTAAAGCAAAGCTTCCTTCTGCATTCTTTTTGTAGAGTCTAAAATGCTTCCTCAATGTATTTTTCCTCCTCCTTCAACAAATAATTTTTCAAAAATAATACTCACAAAAATTTCAAAAAGGAAAAAAGAACCTCCCAATTTTCCCTTAGTGTAGTGGTTCTGAATAACCGACAAAGTTCTCTGCTTGAATAAAATAGAGTGGAAATGTTCAAGTAAAGGGGTTACCTTCCATACATTCAGTGGTGGTCTCATAATCAGACCACGTTCGAGAATCAGGCCTTGATGTTGGTTGAATGAGCAGTATTGTATGCGACATTTACTCCTGTAACGAAATTTGAATATTACACAAGATACCAAAAAGAATCCATTTCTCACTTTTAGCAACAAAGACGACTAACAATACAGAAGAGAGATAAAAACAAAAAAAAACGCATAATCTCAACTGAAGAAGAACAAATGTTAACATTTGCCTAACCTTCCATCATGAAAACTAAGATGCGTTTCCGCGCAGAATTCTTTTCTAGAATGCATCTCTCGATACGACACAAGAAAAACAAGAGTGACTATGGAAAAACAAGAATGAAAAGTTGAGGAGACTAAAAAGCTCATCAGCGTTTCTGAATGAGTACAGTTTTAATCTCGGGTTACAACATTGAGAAAACAGCAGAAAAATAAAACTATATAAAAAACGTTAATAAGAAATCCTTAAATTGTATACGAAAAACATTATTAAGAAACTTTCAAGCTGTATATCGGATGAGAACGAATAATTTGCAGACAAAAAACGGCCTTTGAAAAACAATGAAATAATGCATTAACAACTGAAAAAAAATCTTTGAATTTTGGATTTTAAGCAAAACAAATTTAATGAATTTTGAAACCATAAAATTTAGTTGTCCAGTGGTGGAAAAACAACAGGAAAAAATGATACTATACGAAGAAATGAATAAAGCCAATGAAATATTGAAAAATTTCGACCTAATCATTACTCAAACAGTAGATACTGTTTACTCCACTTCCTGTGGTTCTTCAAACACACTGTGTCATAATAAACGTGCACAATCCTCAAAAAAGTGGTGCTAGGGTACAAAGAAAACCAAATAAGCGTAGAGGACGTAATCGAAATTCCGTTTCCACTCAGTCTAATTCATCTCCATTGACGGATGAAAATACAATACTGTGATTTATCTAAACGCAGGAAGATCCACATACGAAATATTTCGATTCGAGCTTCTAAAAGAGGTTACAGAGCAAACTAGTCCGGAACAAATCCTTAACTTCTTTTACAAGCTGACCACATCAAGAGCACTTTCCAAGAATGGGTTTATGCGAGGTTTGAAATATTTGATTTAGCAATTGCGTTACTGTAACAACAGGCTCTCCTTCATCATAAATCTGTTATTTAGCAGAAACTACTATTTGAAAAGATCCTTGTTAACGTCTAAGATGTAAAATTTGTAAATAAGATTTTAGTTGTTTTACTTCAAAACTACCTTCCACTGTGTATCTTCTTACCCTTTAAATTGTCCATTGTTGTTCGTCTTATATTTCACTTCCGTTCGATCTTATCACCCTGAAACTGAGGAACCAAAGTTACAAAATAGGATGCTACGCACAATCTAGCGCTGGCTTCTTGAAAAAATTCTGCGGCAAGCTGCAGTTGGCCTTAAAAAGCAGACGTGTCGAAGTCTCAACCATCCTCAGTTTGAAACCATCAAAAGTAAATCCCTTAAATCAAATTCTTACGATTCACTGATCTGACGACTGTCTCCCACAAAGCCCAGTAATACTGTGTCGTGGATCCCCAATACTTTAATTTCTTTTCATGTAGTGTAGCCCCAAGAGTTTTTCAAGTTACTTGTAGCTTAAAACTTGGCCACAGTTAAGCAAATAAAATTTTCGAATAGATTAGTGATGTCCCAAACTACATTCTAAGGAACAATCCGAAAAGAATCAAGGTAGAAGGTCGCTTACAAATAAAAATATTCGAAAACCGTACAAGAGACCCTGAAACAGTTGCGAGGATTTTAATCTGAGGACTCAAAGTACCACGCGAAAAACTAAAATATATAAAACATACCCTAAACGCCATCAGACGACAAGCAATTGTACACGAGAGGCTAACGAAAGAAGTTTCATTGGATTATGGTGTTCTGCTGTGGAAATTCTGTTTGAGAAAGTTTCCCGTCTCTACTGGCCTTCGAGCCAGTAATGGGAGAGGCAACGTTTGCAGAAAATTTTCGTGGAACACCAAGAGAAGTGTCCTTAGCTTCTCAATTCCTTTAAGCGTCTTCTAATTCAAACTTTTCTACTAAAACGCTAAGCCAAAACCTCACAAAGAACCTCTGCAAAGCTTGTTTCTTGTAAAAAATCCTTTAAGATCTAATTCCGTTTGGAGAGCTGATCTAAAATACAGGCATATAAAGTTGAACAGCACATTTCTTTTAATTGTTATGGTTTTGAAATACACACAGAAATATGTTAGCCAGCGATTCCACACCAAAAGCTAAAAAATCTCCAAAACTAAAAAAAAAAGTTTCAAAGTTAAAGGAATCGGAATCAAAGAAGTAGCTGTAGAATATATGACAGTGGGAGTGGAAAATCTGCGCTACTGCAGTATCTAATTCCTAATAAAAATTTACCTCTCTCGCCATCACCTATCGCTAAACCTGTTCATAAGGTTTCCAAAAGCCTCAGCTTCCCTAGCACAATTCCAAAATATTATATCAAATCTTCTGTAGTTTTAAAGGTCCAACTTCAAAGGTGTTTTTAGGTAATGATCAGTATACTTGGAGTAGTCCAGTGGAATAATACCTAGTTGTACGATGCAAACTTTGACTGAGAAAGCAAAGTGTAATCAGTTTTTTGAAGCCACTGTTCAAGTACTGCTGTTACACTTCTAATTAACTCAAAGAGATTTCCCGCGTACAATCAAGTCAGCTCCTGATCTGCTAGGAAAGGACAGAATTACCTTCGTAATACAAATTACTCGGTCAAGGGAATTGATCAAGAGATAAGATTTTATGGAATACATTGCAAAAGCATCTCATTAGCATTACCAAAATACTTTTTAAACTGATTAGAAGTGATTCAAAAATGTGGTTACATAATTTTTTTTCTCTTTTTTAGCAGTAGAGTTCTGAGGTCAAGCGGCACATGAAGCTCTAACCGCAAAAAACCCGCGCAGATAACGAATCAAACCAATGTTAGCGGTAGACACATATTACTGCATAGAGACAATAAAATGTCATAAAAGTCAGAAGCTTGAGGAGCAGACAGTGTTTGCAAAGAATTTCTTGAAAAGCTTTGCTAAATAAACTGAATGCCTTCAGAAACTTTAGAAGGAGATTAAGAGTGTAAGTTATAGGCAAAAAAAAAAGTCACGTATAGTGCTAATCGGTAATACCAAAGCTGATCCTTATTACGTCAGAGGAAGTAACATTTGCACAGTAAAAAAAGTTGTATGCAAAAAAATTTACTGGATAGTGAAAGCGGCAAACGGAATACCGACAAAGGAAAGTAAGTACTTCACGGTTTAAATATATTCTTATCCACAAAATTGGAAACGAATGAAAATATCCGGAAGTCATTTTGAACTATTGACAATCTGCCAAAAAAAAAATGAACCGGAGGCGGGGAGTTGAACTAACGGCTTCAATGGTTTCTTTAACGCAAATTAGAGGAGAACGAATTGAATGGAGTTGCAGCGTTTAAAGGACGAACTTTTAAGCTCGTGTTATCGACAGAAATCATATAAGCACTAAGCTATCCTAAATTCTTGTTGCGTTTACAAGGTGTTGATGATTCTGAAGTTTTCAGCTGAAACAGTCTGTATTCATTGGTACGAGAAAGTTTTATATCGTTTTTAGCCTTTTTAATTGCTGTTTTTAAAGGCGTAAAACTAGTTATGATGTATCGCTTTTTTCTGTTCATCTTGTAACTAACTGATTCTGAACAAAATTATATACTTTTTTTAGAATGATATTTGTGAATACCCAATGCTTAGTGTAATCAAAGCACTATTGAACCGACCAAAAATGATCTACGATGAAGCGGTATAGCAACGATACACAATCAATCAGTTGAAAATTTTCACTATTTTTAGACCGCTTGTTCGCCTTGGTAATGTGATAGTCGTGGCAGTTAATATGCATTGTTGATAACTGTCACTTTTTTACTGCAGTCTCCCAAAGCATATTTTCTGCTACAGAAGAATTGACCACCGACTTTCAATCAGTTTCCGCTTCAATATATCCCGGGTACCGTGGATCGGAGTGACTTATTCGAGAACATCCTATGGTTTCAAAAGTCAAGGTTTTCTAGGTTAGTACAGTTGTGTTTCCGAACCGTAAAATTTATAGAGTTCGTGTACTTATTTTTAGCTCAGGTGTCTGTGTTTGGGAAGTCCTTTTTGCAATTTTTTGTTGTCAGCGTACCTTTCGGCCGAAACTGGTCCAGATGTTTTAATTTTATGTTTGTTTAGCAGCAGTTCGTTGTTTCAATGTCACTTGAAATGTCAAGTTTCCTTTTTTATTTCTCTAGTTAGATGCACAGCTTTTTAAATTCATGAACGTGTACACTAAAGCTAGTGGAAAAGTTTTAATTTTAAAAAATTTTTCTAAGTTTTTTCCTTGTGCCTTTTTTACACCTTTATGAGTTCCCAATTAGAGGAGGTATCGTTTCTACTGCAGCTAATCCATCTTGACTTTTATCTAAAGTCGTAATGTCAGCAGTTGGTTATGTTTTGAGGGAAAATGAAAGATGGAAGTGAAAATTAAATTAAAAATTAAGAAAAAAATTAAAAAAAAAAGAATTGTAAAAAAGAGCGGTTTTTGAAATCTTCGATTTCCCTCTCTGATTTGTTGGAGGTAAAAATTAAAGGTTTTTATCTAACATTTATTTGACTTGGGTTTTCGTAGACGAATTTTGATAGAAGCCAGGGTTTGGTTTTATCTTGGATTGGCTATAGTTGCGGTACTTTTCAGTTGATGTTGCAACGAAAGTGTAATTGAAAACTAAAGGTTGCTCTCTAGCTCGATTGGTTGCTTTGATAACTATGAGAAGCTACAAAAGCATTACAACATAACCACAAGCTCATTTAAAAGTCAAGCCATTCAGAGAGTCATAATTGCGTATTTGGTTATGAGGTCAATAAATTCAACTTGTTGGAAATGAAGAATTTTAATGAGACATTTTTTTAAATGCTAAACTAGTTTTAGTGAAAAAAATTTACTAGTATTGTTCTCTCACACTCTTCGTAGCTTAAAGTCGTGACAAATACGAGGCTTCATATTTTTTTCTCATTCAGAGAGGTTGTTTCTTGTTTTCACTTTATTGAACCATTTTTAGCTTTTTGAGAAATGGCGTAATTTTTTTTGCCGTTGGGAATCATTTTTATTTAGGTCGAAGGTTAGCTGAAATAAGTTTCTTTTAAATTTGTATTTTTGATGAAGGGCACTTAAATGAAATTGTTATTTCCATTTAAATGTTCAGGATGAATGGTAGGGTACTGTCGGTAGAGGAAATCAATTACCAAAAGTTCAATGCTTTGTATGTCGAGACGAAAAAGAGGCTTTTTGAGGCTGTCGAAAAAGATGAAAATTCTGGAAAAGATGGTAAGACTTTTGTCTCAGCTTGCTAGAAACTGTACTCCTCTGTTTCTATTCTTTGTGCTCTTGCGCATCTCCTAGCATTCTGTCTGCGTGAATGACAGGTATGTGTGAGGTTAAAGTATGACTTTATTTTTTAACTTATTATTTGCTAGAAGTCACTAATGATTGATTTTTTGATGCGTCGTTTTGAAAGGCGTAGGTATTGAATAATATGTGACTGGACTGATTCTCTTTGACGTACTACTTTTTGTAAGAATATAATGACTATCTTACTCGTGTTTTTTTAATCCTAGATTTTGGCTGTGAAATACAAATTATGAAGCATGCAGCGTGTGCCATGCCTGACTGGCACTTTATTTTGTTATGAATTTTCCGCCTAAGTTTTGCTTAAACTTTTAGACCTTTGTATTGACCTTAAAACTCGTATGATATTCTTAAAAGTCGAAAATTCTGTTGTTGCTCGGCAGGCTTCTTATAGTATATGGTTCCAAAGGAAAAGCTCTTTTCTGCTCTTTTACCTTGTGTCTGTTAGTTTCAAAACCTCTTACATTCTTTATTTCTTCCTTTAACTAAAAAATTATAGTACAAGTTGCGGAACAAATTTTCCTTTCTCTCGTTTTGTAGGATTTACAAAATACGCAGAATATGGTTGTACATTGCTTGCTTGCGTTAATTTTGTGTTAAAGTTCTGGAAAGTCAGTTTATTTTTGTTCCGAAAATGATTTGAAAAGATTATTTGCAATAGTTTTTCTAAGTGGAGATAGTAGTGTGGAGGACTATTTTTTGAATTAAGTACCCAGAGTTTTTTAAACCACAGATGAGGCAGCAAAAAGCGAAGTCATGGAACTCTACAGAAAAGCGATCAAGCAGGGAGACACTGCACTGAAAATTCCAACCAGTAAGTTCCCTCTCGGAAGACAAGAGGAAGCATCGCGCCACCACATAGCTTTGAAAAAGAATTTGGCTTCAGCGAAAGAGAGGTTAAAAATGTTGGGTAAGTACTTTCAGTACTTATTTTTATATTTTTCTACTCTTTTGGTACTTATTTTAAATTTGCGTGTCGAAGGCTGCAGTAGAAGTTAATATAAGTATTTTTATAGTTGACAAAATGTAGATCTTTTTAAGGCTAACAAACGTTGTTTTCTACGGAAAGGTAAAGCAGAAGATAAACTTTTTTGTTTCGAGGATTGTTCTTTCTTTGACTAAACTTGCGTTCTCATGGATGGGACCACCTCTTCTAGTCGGGTAACAGCGGACGGATAAAAGAAGCTAAAATATGTTTCTGATTTTAGGACGTTCAGCAACTCCCTGAATTATTGGTTTTCCAAGTGGGGATAAGTTTTAGAAGCATAAGAAAGCAGCGATGGATTTTAAGTGAGTTTGCAGAGATAAGAAAAATGAGTATTAAAGGGGGCATGAAGTAAATTTTTTGATTTGCTCTTGTTACTGCCTGTAAAAAGGACAGAATAGGGCGCCAGAAATAGTGAATTCTTATTTGACATTTATCTGTTTTTTCATAAACAGCTTGTCATTTAATCACCAAGAACCTTTACGTCATATTAGTTTTTTCAAAGCGCAGTTTAGTTTCATTAACTTACGGAGTGCTCTTGACAAAATTTTAATAGAGGAAAAGGTAACAAAATTTTTTTGGAAAGAGGTTTACTTAAAAGGACTAGTGAACGCCGGTTTCAAACACGCGGAGAGAGGAGGAGAGCACCTTGTAGAAATGTTGGAGTTGTCATTCCCTGCCATATTTGAGTTCTACTTGTTTTTTTTTTACTGTAGTATTCTTAAAATGTATTTGTATTTTTACTTTCCTTGCTTTATTTGGTTCTTTTCATTTGCTCAAATTCTTACTTCTTCGCCATTTTTAAAACTTGCTTTGCTTTAAAATGAGTGAACTAATGTTTTTTAAGTAGAGCAGTTTCCTCCTGGTACTTCAAGAAAAATCACCGGAGTGATTAGAACAAACAGACCGTCCAGTGCTTACCCTCGTACTAATGCTGTCGATACTGGTCGCACGAGAATGACAGTAACTCCAGGAAGAAGGACGGGTAATACTGCTGACATGACGGTAATCTCTTTTTTATTTTAAGTCTAACTGCTGTTGACAGCTGCTTAATAGTTTTAGACTGGAATTTTTATATATTTTGGTAATATGCGTTAAATAAATCATGATTTTTTTTCTGAGGTGGAAATAAAAATGAGTTGACGTTTTCACAGTTTCTTTGTTTCTATTTTCCTGTTTTATTGCTGTAATGGTTGTGATGATTGTTGGGTCATTCTATGGCTCCCGTGGAGAAAATCAAGCAATTTTAGATGGATAGAACTAGAATAAATAAAGCAGCATTGCTGAAAGGCGTTGACGAAAAGTTTGGTTCACCATTACTGAACGAGATTCTGGACTTGACTGACATCAGGATGGATGAGATTTACGGTGCACAGAGTGCAAAGAAAGCTTTGGAAGAAGCAGTTATTTTTCCAGCTTTAAACCCGACTCTTTTTTCTGGCTTGCGGCAGCCTGCTAAGGGTATTCTACTTTTTGGACCGCCTGGTAATGGGAAGACCATGTTGGTATGAAACAGTTATTACGATAAAAAAATACATCATATGTAGTCCTTGTATTTTCTGGGCATCATATTTTTTTTCACTATTAGGAAACAATGAAACAAAATGATTATTAAACGGCGATTTCTAGTCATAAAGTAATTATCTTTGAAGGAGAACAAAAATTCAATTAAGGAATCATTTTCTTATATCTTAGTTTCTCTCTTTTAGTTTTAATTATATCATTTTTTAGTTTTTTTGTAGACTGGGCGTATTATTTGGACCTATATCACCTGTTATTATTTGATGTCTTGGACATCTTTTACTACATGAAATTTTTAGGCTCGAGCTGTTGCCACAGAATGTGGTTCTTCTGTATTTTTAAATGTTTCGGCTGCTGTTTTAACTTCTAAGTGGGTAGGAGATTCAGAAAAGTTAGTCCGCGCTTTGTTTCAAATCGCTAGAAATGGTCAGCCATCAATTATTTTTATAGATGAAATCGACTCGTTGTTGTGCGAAAGAAACGAAAAAGAATCTGAGGTTCTTTACTGTTTTTCTTTGTTGTTGTTCACTTTAGTATAGTATTTGTTTTAACTGGTTAGTATAGTTCAGGTCTCACGAAGGGTAAAAACTGAATTTTTGGTACAAATGGATGGTATGTGTTCGTCACAAGCAGATCGCGTTCTTGTTATCGGTGCAACAAATCATCCACATGAATTAGATACTGCTGTTTTAAGAAGGTTTCCAAAAAGAATTCTTCTTGATGTTCCTGACGAAAATTCCCGTGCAGGTTTGATCGAATCTGTGCTGAGGAAGCATAAAGTAGCTCATCGGCTTTCGGAGCTGCAAATACGGTATATTTTGGAAGTCTTTTTTGAAGTTTATGAGGACAGCGCTTTATGAGTCGTTTATTAAGGGTTCGTGAACAAGGTTTATTTATTTTTGCAGCAAGGTAGATAAGTGTTAAAAAAATTAAATGAAGTATTGGTACTAAAAGTTTTCAAAAACATGCTGAGCGAGTGTTAGGCAATCTACGAAACTGGATCGCTACGCTTCATTCTGTTTTTTTTTATTTATTTGTGCTTCTGTTGGTTCCGTCTGACTTCCTTTCGTTTATTTTGGCTTCGCTTTATACCTGAACTGTTCGGGAGGTTGCGAAATAGATTTTCCATTGTAATATTCGGTATTTCTTTTAACTGTTCTCTCTCTGTTAAAAACTGTTTTGCAGTTTGTGCATTGTTGCTTTGTAAAGAAGTTGCACACACGGTTGAGGCACGAGGGAATTTAGAACCTTTTAGGCGTTTCGGACTTATGAAACAATTTGGTAACTTTTGCACTGCAACTTGAAATTATCAGTGGCAAGTAGAAAGAACTTTTTTTAGTTCTTGTTCTGAATAATCTTTGACTCAACTCCGTCTCTTCAACGGTGTAGGCCTGTGTTGAATTTGCTACTGTTACTTTATTCAGTCTTGTTAGAGAATCCAAAGGAACCATGGGATTTTCTATTAGCAGCGCGCCACTGCTGTGAATGTGTTGGGTCCTGATGTCAATATTTTTTCAGAGAAATTGCCAGAAGAACGAAGGGTTATTCGAACTCCGACCTTGTAAATCTTTGCAAAGAAGCAGCAATGGGTCCCGTACGTGATGTCAGTAGGAGTCAATTAAAAACTGCTAGAGAGGACCAAATCAGAGAAATTAATCAGAAAGACTTTTTTGAAGCTCTAAATGTGATCAAACCTTCAACAAACCCTCAGTTGATGAAGAAGGTGCGCCAGTTTGCTGAAGAAGCAGGCCAATGTTCGTGATCACTTCGACCTTGTCCGTTGATGTTAATTTGCCATTTGAAAGAAAGGAGAGTTGTTTTTCTAATTCCACCTTCATTACCATTTGAGAATTTCTATTCCGTAAAAGTTCTTAACGCAGTACAGGTGGTTAAGTATTGTTGGTTTTGGAATGCCGTAATTGCTTCGTTGGCTGCCAGCGAAAAATGCTGTTACTCCAGCGGATTCAAATCAGTAGCTTAAGTTTTTTCAGTTTGTTCCTACGACGTATATGACCTTAACTTTACGGACTTTTCTAACGCCCAAGTTCACATTATTTAAGTTATGACTGCTCGAGTTTAGTATTGCCGGGTGATTGTGGAAATTATGAACTCTTTCTCAGAGGCATAACGGGTTATGCGAATGTTTTTTGCTGCAACAGCTAAGGGTAAATTGAAGGAAGAGATTGAATTTCTCTGGTGGGGCAGCAGCTTTTGTTGTGCAACGGGGAAAATTTGTTTTTTGTAAATGTTCTATTATTGCCTCTTAGCTTTCTCAGTTTCTTACTGGAAAGCATAAGAGATCAGGTTTTACACTTCTGAAGATTCGTACGATAAATTGACGTCACTTATAGGTTTAGGAGCTCATAATTGTACTGTTTCAAGTGAGACTTCTTTTAAGTCTTCTATCACCAGTCATAATGATTGTTTTCGTAAGCTTTCACATTCCCTCGTCCTTGCGCGCTAGATATTTAAAATGTGATTACTGAGATGTTGTTTATTTATCCCCTTCAGTTCTGATCTCATTTTAAATTGTTTTCAATTGTGACGATTTTTGCTAACAGTTTTATACAGCTGAAGACCTTTGGGTTGTCTTACTGGGTCTTTCTGGTCCAAACTTCGTTTTTGCTTTGTGAGGATTGGGCAGCTACCGCTTTGTTTGATTTTTTTAAAATATCTTCATTTCCATTGTGTACTCGACTTTCATTGGGAGTTTGTGTTTTTGTTTTATTTCTCGGACTTTTGCTTGAATTTTGAACTTCTTTTCGCTTTTCTTTGTACAAGAGTTTGTTTAAATTGAACACATACGATCGCTTTGTCGTCTGAAAACACATGAGTTAGTCTTTAGATTTTTACGCGGGATTTCTTCCATGTTCCGGGTAGAATTTCACCATTGTTTTAATTCTGAGTACCTTCTTTTGTTGGTTTGTCACCTAGCAAAGTAGACTCGAAAAGACGCAAAGGACCTGTACGAATTCATATCAGCAACGATGGCGCTGTAAAATGGCGGACGGGATCCTACTCTGGAAAAAAGCAATTGTAGGTTTATAGTCGACCTCCAAGGAATTATGAGAAGTTTTGAGAGGCAGTTGCTGCAGGAAAAAAAAGGTGGTTTTATCAGTGAAGGAGTAACAAAAACAATTGCTGGGTCAAGGAGAAGGTGCTGGGGGAACTGTTTTTGTGACATCTTAAGGTTCTTAGGCGTTATTGGACACGTTTTTAAAGCGTTCTATTGGAAAGCTGGTGCACTGTATAGCTTTCAATTTGGGATTGAAGGGGGCAATGTAGTTTTCTGTTGTTTTCCCCGAGAAAGTTTAGTAATCACTGGTACCATCTGGTAAGTCTTGAACATTACCCGCATGTAGTATTAATTAGGATGATGAGGAAAGCTTGTCCTTAATGAGAATCGTCGAGTTTTGGAACGAGAATGAGGTGTAATGTGATTGTTTATTCTCAAAAATTTTAGCCAGTTAGCTTTGATTTGCTGGAAGTGACTAGGGTTGGGGAGAAGGCAGGGCCTGTTCAACATTGCGCGTTAATTGGATTTTAAAAGAGTTTAAAACCGCAGAAGGTAGCACTGAATATCAGTGGTTTCCGCCCTAGTGACACTAATAGGAAAAGTTGACCTGGGTAGTTTAGTTGACCGCACAAAGATTCTAATCTTGAAGATGTCTCTAAGTTAGGTGTCACCTCGGTTTCTGTTATAGTTGTTCAAGACTGTGGCAAGAAGTCAGTAGCAAAGTACGGCTGGAATTGCCGCATGGATCGGCGCCTTCAGATGAGCAACAGAAGCGCAGTTAACCGTAATTTGGAAAGTCAGTAAGCCTACAAAATGAGTATTGCACGCTTAATACCTATTTAATTTGACCAGGTATAGGCGTCTCAGCGACCCGTTACAGCATCATCTCGAAATGATCTTATTTTGGGCATTTTCAAACTTTTGAGGAAGACGAATTACATGAGAAGAAGTGAAGAGAGAAGTTTATTGGTTTGAATGTTTGTTATCAGATGCGAGTCTGCAACTGCAATATTTGAAGGACCTCAAGAGTTCCAGGATATAATATACGGGGTATTAAAGGGAGGTGTCGCGGTTACCGACAGAATTTCAAGACCGAGGAAATGTTTGCTACAATCTTTACTTTATATGTCTTTATGGGGAACTTTTGTCGCTTCCTTTTGGTTCCTTGTAAGATGTGAATAGCCGTTTATTGCCTTACAAAGATGCACGATTTCAGAGAACTGTCTCTACCGTTGCTCAACGCAAATAATTCCTACTTACTTAAGTTACTGCTACTTTTTGACTTTTGTAGCAGTTTCTACTCAAGTTATTACTTCTTCACGGCCTTGATCAAGATTGCTACTGGAATAAATAGATTCTAGACAGTTCCTTGATTAATACTGCGCCATAATTGGAAGCTGTCTTGCCTTATTCACAGTCAAAGTATGTTTGTTGCCCTTTTTTGTTTTTATAGAGTCATATTTTAATCCGTTTATTTACTGGAATACTATAACCTACGAATAAAAGCAGCTTGAATAATCGCTTAATTTATTTCAGAACAATACAACGAATTTAATTAACAAGAACGAAATGTCAAATTTAGTATACATTCGTGAGAGGGCGATACCTAAAGATTTTGAATCCACAGAAGATGTTACGCTCAGTCGCAATCTTTTGCGGAAAAATTTACAACCACGTGAAATGTGAAGCTTAGCAGGCTGGCGATGTATCGCTCATTGGCTGGAGTTGACAGCTAAATCCGGCTGGCCTTCAAAAGTGTTTGGGATCATAGTGGAGTTGATGCCAAATAGGGGGGGTTCTTCCGCGCGTAGTCGCGACAGGAGGAAATTCTCACTTAACCAGTTAAGTGGTAAACAGTTATTGTATGTTTTCTCCAATTCCTCAGCGGTTTAGAAAGATACTTGCTACGAACAGGAAGGTGTTGTATATGTGATTAAAATTTGAAGGAAAACTTTTAGCTCTGGTCTTTTAACTAGAAAATTGAAATTTTTTTACATTGAAAGTAATGGTAATAACGTTCAAAGCTGTTAGAGCTTGTTGGAATGTTTCTGAACTGTAGCAAAATGGATCTTTAAGATACTAAAGGAAGTGAAACGATGGAATCAAGCGCGTTGCAAAATCAGTGACATTTCACCGAATGGGTGGGCCAATTTCTATCCGAGATGAATGAATGCAGATCATTCAAGAAGGAATATGTCTGGCAAGTGACAACCGGAATCTTTAAATCTGACAGCTGCGAGGAATTAGAGGGCTGTTTATATTAGATGTGTTGTTTTAGTCCCGGAAAGGTTTTTCAAAGGAAGGAGAAAAGCAAGTTAACCAAATGTGTACCAAACAAACTTTTAGAATCGCATTGAGTTTTGCAGGATGCATCAGTCAACTGCATGAGAGGTAGCGGTTAGTTCAAATAAGCAGTATCTTTAAAATTTACATACATGCAACTTTTTGAGCAAGTAGTTATAACTTTTCATACTTTCTGAGCTTTAGAAATAGCTTAAACCTAATATATAGCTTCAATTGCACTAGAAGCCATTTTCAGAAAGTGTTAAGTAACGGGGAAGGAAAGGGAACAAGAGGATGACAAGAAAATTATTCTTTGAAAATATCATAGCAATGATGCACTTTAAGAGTACAGAAAGATCTGAGAAGGCAATGATAGAAAATCTTGGGACATTTCAATAGAGCATGGGATCAGAATATAAAGGAATGACATTGATATGAAATGTTTCGAAAGCTGGGTTTCATTGGTGGTGCTCCTTTATAATGGCAATGGGGAGCGCAAAAAAACTGACGCGAAATGCTTTAGCGTATTAAAATTCATTCAAAGAAATGCTCGCTTTTTTTCTAAGTCAAAATTAGTTTCTTAATTTAGCATTTGTTTGAATATCAGGAAAGTTATTGGTTTTGGTCACAACGTATATTAGTCATATTTTCCTCTTATAACTAACTGTAGCTTCCTGTTAATTTGGCACGGATGTTTCAAACAATTAATGTGCTCAATTGGTAGGATCATTCAAGGTTTTATTAACTTAAAGTAACAGCAAAATGTTTGTCTCTATTTCTCTTTCAGTTTTAAACCCTATTTTTTCAAGTATTTAGCTGATTGTTCTTCTTTTAATTTTCTGTTGATCAACAAATGCTTGCATTAGAGTATTATTTTGCAATATCATTTGCCTGTAGTTAAGGGAATGCTTGTGTTTTTTTCAACTCTGACGTTGTACACGGGAGTAAATATCGGTGGAAGACTTAGAGAGCACTTAACAAAGTTTAAAATGAAAAAAAACAAATCCAAAGCCATAAAAGCTTTCCAGCTTATAGACTGAAAAAAATTTAAAAAAAAAAAAAACAAGAGCAGAGGTACAACAGAAATATCACTACTGCACATATAGTACAAATTGTACTGCAAACCAATGATGCTGACATAGGTAACCCATGAAAAATTTTTTTCAAATATTATTTGCAAACATTTAACATCGACATTTAGTAGAGCAGCTCCCGAATCAGACAATTTTTTTGTTTTGCAGAATCTTTTTTCATTTTGATTGGCGCTATCATTTAGAAACTTCGATCATTTTCTTTGACTTTTTGAAAAAGGAAGAGAAAATTGGCCAAATTTCATTTAGCGCTGTGAAATTTTATCTGAAAACAGAGTCTGTTGTGAAGTAGTTGTGGAAAATGCATTTAGGTTGTTTGGCAAAACGAAGCAAACGTAGGAAAAAGAACATTAAAAAAAAGAATTTTATATATACATTTTGAGAAATACCTACATTTTACACAGACAACTTATCAACTTTTCAGCCATATTTTTAAGTTTATTTCTGATTTTTCTTTTATTTTTTCTCTTTTTTCTTTTTTTTTCTTTTACTCTTTTTTTTTTGAAATCTTTATGGCTTTTAATCAGCGGAGAAGTTGATGAGTAAAGTTGTTAACATTAGTATTACTGCTGTTATCACCGTGCAGAGTTTTTAAGAACTTTTCAACGGATGATTGCTTAATTCGTTGTCCAGTCAGTTTATAACATTGGTGAATACTCATCATCAGTTTGTTCACCAGCTGAATGTGGAGTACAGTTTGTATTCTGATATTCCACATACTGTACAGTTGGTTGTTTCGAGTTGATTCCACCGTTTAGCAAAATTTTTTCTTGTTTATCACCCAGTAAACTGGTTCCGTCAAATGACGTTACTCTCTGCAATCAAATTTTAGTTTAATACTTTAAGGATTAAATTTTAACGCTTTTAGGACACTTTATTTAATGGTTTCTAGAATGGTCTGACGGTTACCGGCTATATGGTTAAGCAAAAAAAAA